ACAGAAACTTCGATGCGCTTAGCTTAATATGCTATATAAGACCTATTTCGACATATGTCCAAACCTCAGAGCCTCAACGTAATCAGACACCTGCATGTCGCCAAGCAATATAGAAACGGGATTTTCCTGAACAATTACCGGAATAGTGAGTTCACTCACTCACTTATTAAGATGCATATGAATTGCCTTCTCAATCGTCTCTCGACAACGCGGCGCACATTGTGCCACAAACCACAATCGGTCAATGGATCTGAACTCTGAACGGGGGTTTAGGGTCTAATCTCATAGAAAGTATGGTTAGTCAGCCCGCGTAGTCGAAATCATCATGACTTTTACGGTTAACCCTTTTCGAATGGAGCCTGAACAGCATAAGACAACAAAAAGGTTAGTAGCCCTAGATGGGGCAACGTTTTTTCTCTTGGGGTTTCGAAATCCTCGCGATGGGACACCGAAGAAACGTAGGCAACTTTCAACTAAAGAGAGATGAGATGCGATGAAGCTTGCAGTGTAGAGCATCTGAACACGTTTAAATTACATGAATAACTGAAACATCTGTCTCAATTCTACAACTTGTGCGCTCCCCGAATTAATAAAAATCGATGCTCAAAAGTAAATGCAAATCTGCAAGATTTTCCGGTCTCATGTCCAAGTTCGACAAAATCTTGCAGATTCTTATAAATTATTCCTCTGCGGCTAAGTAAGATGTAAGCAAACGTACCATCTGTTGTCATTTAAATCACGACACGCCTTGTCAGCATCCTCTTCTCGGACGAACTTCACGTACACGTTACCGACCATGTGCTCGCCAATATTCTCGCACACATTAATTTCCTCCACCTCTCCATACTGAAAACGGCGAACTTACTATAATAATAAGAATTAACAAAAACTGGCCTTTCTTTCCAACTCTGTGAAAACTTCTTCATAGAACTCGTCAAAATACTTTTGCTCCTCCTCATTTTTCCTGCCGACCTCTGTAGACAAAAGCATGAAGGAAAAGTATTGGAAAGCTTTCCAACTCATGACAACTCACTATCGAAAGCATCTGCCTGTCGCACATCAACAACTGGATTGTGATAAAAATTCTTCAACAAGATTGTCGGCGAGAAAGTGGGGGTGTGATGAGCCCGAGAACACTTATCACCATGACGGCAAGCCCCCGTCTGAATATATTGTGTTCACAATAATAATCTAAGCATTACTGTATTCGGGACTCACTTTGAAGAAGAAGGAGCAGTTAACTTTGTCCTTTTCAGTCCCATAGATGGACGCCAGATATTCAGCTCCGGAAAGTGTGTCTCCAAAATTCATTTCTGAAGGGAAAATAGATTTTTTTTACTTGCCCGCGTTTGGAAAATAACTGCAGATGTGACGTTAGAATGGATCTGGTGAAGAACAGAAAGTAGAAAATTGAGGAACGACCAATTCAAATGAGCAAAGAAAAGAAATGATATCTTAAACAACCGCAGTTGATAATTTGATTATCATGATTTCTTACCACCTTTTCCAATCTCAAAACTTTTTTTATTGAAATATCTTCGATTTAGTATCATAAACAAAAAGAAACGTTTGCTGGGCATAGATAAATGGTATATCAAATGAAACGTCCCCTCATTCATCTCTGAAAGATCTGATCAATAAGTCTTTAAGGAAAAATTTTCAGTGCATAATGATGCACGAGTTCTTCTTTACATAAAAAGTTTGCATGATTAAATCAAACTTCAACTTGCACGTTTTAGCCATGACACTGATAAGTTTTGGGACAAAACATGAAGGTGAAGTTGAACGCGCCCTTCCAAATTCTAAATTTATAAACATTAATGCAAAAAAAAAACGGTTCCCATCAAATTCATAGCGACTACTTTTCACGCGTGCATTAAAAGAATTTCAGGCAAGATTCCTTCAAATATCTGTTGAACCGTTTCAATGTTATATCACTTTTATCAAAAGAGCTGATAAGCACGGATGTTGTGGCACTACAAGAACTTATAATCCTAGAAGTATGAACATTGTAATTGCACATACTTGCGAGAAACTAAACACAAAAAATAGAGATAACTAAAAGAAGCAAGCAAATTCTGCAAAATGTCAAAGTCCCTTATCGCCTAGAAAGATTCCGAGTTTCTGATAACCACAATTTCCTTCCACTTCATGTGAAAGAAAAAATTGAGAAAAACAACCCCTAACACCGCAATTTATGCGTAAAAAGCAATATTACGAGCATCTTGCGCAGACCGGCTGATTTCGTATCGACTAATGCGTGGCGGTGGCCCCGCCTTCCATTCTGCTTACTGACTATTCGACGAACCACACACAAGGTACGCAGACAAAATGAAAGCGAGGCAAAGTGGAATTTTTGAATTCAGACAGTTAGGTCAGTTGA